ATTCAACGTTTACAGCGTTTTAATAATAATAATAATTTTATGATTTTTAATACTCAATTTAAAAATACTAATGTTAGTTACAATAGTCGCAGGCACAAAGTGAGAATGTTATATTAATTAAATGTTTTTTAAAATTAAATTATTATATAGGAAAAGCATAAAAAAGCATTATACATAGGTAATAGTAAGATTATAATACTAATGTTATTATAATCTGGCTCAGACTGTATAATGCCTTTTCTGTGTAGACATTATAAACTCTATTATAATTTGATTGCTTTTTTAATTAGTTAAAATTATCAAAGTTACAATAATTAAACTTTCATAACAATTGCATTATAATTTTAATTTATTTCCTGAATTGTGATTAATTTAAACTACTTGCTCTGCAATCTTTGTTATACATGTACATAAAGTAATATAAATAATTAATAATGTAATGTTGAAATGTATTTAAGTCGTACTATCGGCAATAATAGGTGGTAATTGTGGTCTGGGATTTACACGACGTACGCGACGAAAAACACGCGGATTATATGAATGATTACATATTGACTGCCAATTAATTGTTATATTATTTGATATATTTTGACGATTATTATAAATTAATGTTTGAAATTTTGTGACTAATTGTGAGATATTATTAATGGCCATCGAAACTGATAATCCGAACCATAAACCAAACAGCGATCCGATAAACAGCACACACTCTATGAAAGTTAATTTTAATGATACCTCGTATAACATATCGGGTCCTATCGGAAAATTTAATAAAATAATAACTTTATCCAATTGGTCGGTATTATTGTCGGTCTCGTATTGAAGTGCATAATACTGTTTTACGCACTCAATTTTGCACTTATTTTTGCAATTAAATTCGCGTATATCAAACAATCTATCATCATTTGTCCACGATTCATTAAAATTAAAATAGTTCCGAGTAGCAACAACATCATCGTTATATTGTAAGATAAATTGTAATATTTGTCCATGGTTGTCATATTCTCGTTTAACGCATTTCATTACGCATTCTTCATTTGTCTCACTCGCCAAACATTTATCTGTATTTAACATATGATTTAATTTTACAGTTTCTTTCCGGTATGATATTGCAACATAATTGTTTTTCTCGGTGTCGTAATACCACCCTAAGAGGTAAGGGTTTCGGAGGCGTTCACTTCGCGAATGCACTTTAATAGTAAGGTTAGCGGTCAATGATTTATTGGGAAATGTAAGCGAAATGGCGTAGGGCTTTTTAATGTTGCGATAGTTATCCGTATAACCACTATCTGACTGACCCTCCCATTGGGATAATAACGTAATGCACGTCTGATTTGTGAATGCAATTGACCGGCGATACGGTGCTATATAAGTGCAATTACCTTGTATGTTTTTAATATTACTATCGCATTCAAATAAATTATTTATGTGCATGAGTTTGTCCAACTGGTTAATTACAGATTGGTTGGCAAATATCTCACGTTTGAATCTTTTATTCTCGTCATAGTATTTAGATTTTAATTCCGGTTGTATTAGTTTCTCAGTGTTCATACATAGTGTTAGCGCTGGTAGACTATACTCATCGCTAAACTTGACATTAGTTGTTGTTTCGTATGATAAGTATATTTCACAGATTTGATAGGTTTGATACGCAAATCCACACAATAGTATGCCGTAAATTATTAAATTCTTGATTATAGTATAAGACAACATAGTTTATTAACTATAATTTGAAATCTACTATGACGATTTAAATATATTGAATGTATTTAATAAAAAATATATTTAAATTTATTCAGTATTATATCTGTATGTTATAAGTTTTCTTTTAACAAATAGTTTGTATATTATATTAATGTTACATTAAATTGTTTTAAATTAAACATTCTTATATTAATTCCATGCAAATCTAAATAATAAATAAAATAAATGAATAATATATTTATAATAATAAGTTAAAATAATCAAATCACATTTTTTCAATTACAAAATATTCATTATATTTGATTTCTATATTCACTTCCTTATTATTCATTAGATAAAATATACACTTTGTTATAAGTCAAAAAGATATTCGACAAATTTAATTTGCATATTAAATAAAATATTACTAAAAAATAATAATCTATTCATTATAAGTTGTTGTTTTATAATATTACTTTTTATAACAGAATTTAATTATTTTATGCACTATTATTGTATTTATTTTAAGGACGTAAAGCATTAATTCATTAATACATAATAAAAACAATTGAATTTATTTATATTGCAAGACTTTAGTGCAGTTTTGTCTATAATATAGATTTTTAACAAATATAATAATGAGGTAATTATTTAGTAATTATATTGGTTTTATTTAATTAATTATAATTACAATAGTTTTAAAGCATAAATAATAATTATTGTTCTCTAATAATAACTCTCTCAATAAAATTCTGTGGAAAATATGTTTGCATTGCATTTAAGAAACTACCATGATCCGAATGTTACAATATAATTTATATAAAGTCAGTTATATGCAATTATCCTGGTAATTCAGATAATATTGCAATCAATTGAGAGTTGAGTATTTTTAAACTTGGACATTAAGCTTTATTAAACGCCAAAGTATATTATAATTAACGGTGACCAACAATTATTTAGCACAATAAATTTAACAAATTTGTTTTAAACTGAAAATATAAGTTTTATTTATCAAATTAAATTAGCAACTAATAATAAAACATATAAATAGCCATGGTAATCCATAATCCAGGATAAATTTATTGAAAGCCTTTAATCAATGCTCTGAGAAGTGGGAATTTAGTGGTCGATCCTAAAGCGTTAAAGTCGTCGTTATTAACGGCCTGAACGGCAATACCGGCCAAACCGGCGCTCTTAACCCAATTGCCCTTAACTTCAGCGGTCTTTTCGTCCTCAATGGACACCCATTGGTCGCCCAAAACATAGTACGCGGCGCCGGCGGGTATGTCCTCTTTTCGTGACCAACCTGGTGTGTCTTTCAAGCGCAACATCATCTATCATGGTAATTAAAATTTTGAATTTTGATATATAACTACTTATTAAATCAAATTATAATACTGTTTATGACTTATTAAAGTGACCAAATTGAATTATTTATGTAATACTGACCTCGTTGACACCCAATTTACCGGTTGAATTGGTAAACGGTCCTACAGTGCCGGGTCCTGATGCGGGTGCGCCCACATCGGTCTTGGTGGGGTCGCTGAGGGTCCAGGTGTGGCCGTAAGCGGGCACAGTAACCTTGGTGATTAGAACAGAGTAGTTAAGTTTAATGACATCATTATAATTATGATCAAACTTACAATCGCTTTAGCAGCAGGCAGGCCATTCTCAACCCATCGGTTAACACTTATTTTCTATGGTAATTAAATTATACATTTTAGTATTATTTTTACAACAAATGTATTTTATCTATTAACCATTTTTAACTAAAACTTTTAATTAATTAAATAAAATGTACCTGATCCTCGAGGGCAGATGAGTGACCAACTTCAGTGTTCCATGAGCCGTGATAATCAAACGATTGGATAATGACAAAGTCAACTTGCCTAATACACAAAGTAAATTGCATAACAAAATTAATATAAAATTCAAAGTATATTGTATACTGTATACTGGAGTCTGGTTATATAAATTAGCATAGTTTTTTAATATATGCTTAAAAATAATTTACTTACTCTGCAACAGACTTGATATCATAGCCCGGCTGATCGGCGGCAATAATACTAGCCAGAATATATTTATCCTGGGCAAATGCCTCTTTCAAATGTTTCAACAAGACCACATACGACTCCATGTATTCGTATTTCCAGGCGACTGACGACCATTCAAGTACCACACCATCCAGGCTATATTTCTTAAGAAAATTGACCATGTTGGTGGTGAACAGGGTCGGATTGGCAGTAGCGTAAGTAAGGTACTGAGCAAATGTAAAGCCACCAATCGCGATCAGCGATTTGTCCTCGCCTTTAAGGTGACCCCAATCGTATAATTGATCTGGGCACAAACAATTTAATAATTTATATTAAAATAAGCTTGATGTATTTAAAAATAGATCTTTTGTTTATTAACGGTATTGAGTGCTGGTCTCGAGCCACGGGTCGGTGTTGTTAACTTCAGCCGATGGCAGTACACTGTTGTAGCCGTAGACACGGTGTGTGCAAAGTGTGTTATCTAGTTTAATGATATGAATTTATTTAAATGCGCATTGCATAATTTGATTTGTGCTAATATATAACATAATTATTATTTTTCAAACTTACCTATATCCTTAGGAAACATCTGGCCCTTTCCATGAGATGGGTACGAGACTATATAATATAATTAAAAATATATTCATTAATAATATTTATAATTGGTTTACTTAATTTTATATATTTATTATTATTTATACTTACACCAATTCTCGTAATAGCAAATAAGTTTGGGCGCCGATTGTATTTGGCCCAAACACACCACCAGCGAACACACTACGAGACTGAGCTTTATCATTTTTGATTAATTATATATTAATAATAAAATATTTGAATTAATACTGATTTATAATGATTGAAATTGACTTTATATACTTTTTTGAAATGCTTAATTATAGATATCTACTTTACTAATTTAGCTATGTAGCTGATTTAATTTTTATCTTCACTTTCTTGGAAAGCATAGATTTTAATGTAGAAAAGTTTATCAAATATTGTCTAACATAATAGACTATGAGTTCAATAGAGACCGTGAGTGTTTTAGATAGATAAAGCAATAATTAACAACTTATTGCTTAAACAGGATTAACAGATATCCTGGTGATAAGTAATCAATTAATTGTTTTGATAATACATGAAATTAAATTGAAATTAAAAATCAATTATTGTAAATCGCGGTGAAATACCAAGAATTATTACGTATAATACATCAAGTTTCTAAATACAAGTACATTTCTATCCTTAAATATGGATTGCAAAGGTTACAGATCATCTAGTTTATTTTACAGTTAGAAATGAGTGCTTACTATATAAAATATATAGTTAATGTTTTATTAAAATAGTTATATTTTAAATCTTATAAACTTTATAGTTAGATATTTATTTTAAAATACGACACAAACAGCGTTAAGAATCAGGTAATTCTATTAATTAATAAATTAGGCCTAATTAGGCTAATTTATCTAATTAAACTAATTTGGCCTAATTTGTATTAATTTTATAAACATTTATTATCTTATTATTTGACATTATAGCCTAGATGATTGGGACTTTCAAGTCAAGATGTTTAGATGTAGACGTTTATTCATATCAAGATTGTTAAGTTAAAAAATTAGTTTAGAACTAGGTCAATGAA